AACATTAACTGCATACTTTATTTGGAAACTTTTGAAATATAAGCATTAAATGCTTCCATATACACAATTTCAAATCGGATCAAATCAAATATGATCAAAAAGATTATTTCCTTTGATAATTATATTAACATCCACAATAATTTCATTATTATCTATTATAGTAAACTTTAAATTTATTTTTCGTGATTCATATTAATTATTTTATTGTCAAAGTAGACATGAAACATATTTTAAGTTCTAAGAATATTAATTTTTCACAGATATTGACTTTTCAACCTAAAATATTTATGGAAAAGTGTAACATGTTAAGTAATTTTTTTCTTCATCTTTATTTCACCTTATATATAAAATGGAAAATAAATTATTTTTCAAATTAAAATAATTTACCATTTATGCGATAATGACCAGATACATTAAATAATTTAGTTAATGGCTAGATATTGAAATTGAAGTATTGAAATTGAAATATATTAACTATTATTTAAAATTTCAACATGTGATTTATTTGTATATTATTGTTAACCATGATATTTTTTTATTATTTTGATTTCTTTCCATAGTGAAATTCTTTTAAGATATATTTTCATTGCAAAGTATGTTGAATAAATTATAGAGCCGTATAATGAAATTAGAAAAATTTATTGATTAAAGAAGGGGTATAGATTTCGTTTATCTATTTTTTTTTTTTTTTTTTTTNNNTTGCAATTACTAAATAAAAGACTTTTATTGTTATAAAAAAATAATTCTAATTTATTTTTTTTTTTGTATATTTTGTTAAAATGTTTGTGCACAATGTTTGATTTATAATTTAGTTACATAATTTAAATTAATAATCTTAATAAATAATATTACGTACACTAAATATTTTTGTTAAATAAAATAAAAAGAAGAAAGCCCACATCTATAACTTTTGTAAATAATAATAATGACTTTATAATAAAATAATAATTGAGTATTTTACGAGGAACAAGAATAAATAAAATTATTATATTTTTTATGTCAAGGAATAAATGTCTACATTAAAATCAATTTATATTACTATAAATCTGTTAGGGGGGGATAATATATTATTAATTAATTTACAGGCTAGCGCTAACCGACTTATGTTTAACGTCCCGACAAAAATATGACGCTGATGAAAAGAGAGATGATCCAACTCTATTATTTTTAGGCCATATGGAAATGATTCATTTGATATCTCTCTTTCGTGCATCACACGAACTACAGACAAGTTTTATGGAAATGACTCATTTAACATCTCTGTGTCGTGCATCGCACGGGCTACGTACTAGTGTCCACTAAAATAAATAACGTTTTACAAAGTCTACCAAAGTCACTCACTTTTAATAATCGCTAGACTTTAAAAGTATGAATTGAGAATTAATCTTTCCCAATAATCCTTTTAAATTTTATAAAACTTGAGCAGTTTGACATTGCTTAAAACTTTATAGTTTTCCGTAATTGCCAATTAAGTCGTAATGTTTGCTCCAAATACTCAGAATATTGTTTTTTGACATATCATCACCGCAACATCATAGTCAAAGATTATCAAAAAACTGCATCATATAGTCAAAACTAAAAACTGGGCCAAAATGTCCTTATTCATTGAACTATATCTGGTCATAATTTGAAGGCGTGTACCTAGAAAACGGGTTCCACAACCAAAAAATAATAAAAAAGATGAAATTGTATCTCCTTTTATTTTCATTGAACTTAATGTGAAGTTTTGTACTTTTACGTTTTCCAGGTTACTGTAGAAGTCCTGCGTGGGGATAAACTGGAGAAAGTCCCAGTAATCCTCGAACCAAAGCCAGACGAATCGTAAAGTGTAAAACAAGTGTTGTAAATTGTATTATGAGTTAGTCATTCATGGCCGCCAACGCCCTATTGTCCTCTCCAATATTGATCGAGTGTACTGAACGATGTCCATAGTCTTCGTGTGGAACCTACCGCATGTTAAAGCACTTCCCTGTGTGTACAACTTTATTTTAACTATAACAGGGCAATGGACTGCAAATTCAAAGTTCACAGTTCTCTAAAATTTTTCTTGGGTTAGACTTGACCATTAGGGTGCCATGTTTATTTCAATAAATTCCATAAAAAAATTAGTTTTTGTAAGAAAATAACATTAAAGAATTGTGATATTTGATATTACAAATATGATTTTTGGTTTACGTAAGAGTATATGGGTGATCCATTGATTCACACTAGAATTTATCTATCTTGGGGCCTTCTAACATTAGATATAACTTGTACATCACTTGTACATGCATGATAATAAGTGGATCTTAAGTCTCATGGTTAGATTAATCAAAACTTCAACTTCCGCCCTACATTTACTGTGGCGGACAAAACTTTACGTTGATGCCTCGTACATGCGTAAACGCCTATTATACTGTCATTTTGTCTTTAATTAACGAGGTGTGATAGCTACAGGTAGACATACTTTATGTCTACCTTATCTGGCATTTTGTCACCACTCGTTGTCGTCACCTACCACCTTCAGCAGTGGAAAGTCGCCCGCCTACCATTGATGGATTTCCACAAATCATATATCATTTCAAAGTTTTCGATTTGATCATTTGAACTACGTACATATTTAGTTTCATCATATGATACCTCAAGTTTTGTTGAGGAATTGTAAAAATTTTAAAAAATTTGAAGGAATATGCTTTAAATTTTATTGGAATGTCATCGGAGGTCCAACCGTTAGATGTTCGTGAAATATATATGTTTAGAAAGCTCTTTTCATAAATAATCAAACGGCACCTCCCGATTTCCGGTCCAATATAGTCAAAAGAACACAAGCTAAGTCACCAAATTGGCGGCACTACCTCAACTAAGCGGGTAGACTGCTTATGTTGATTGATACTTAACTGAATTAGTTAATTCTTACGGGTTCAAAGAAAGGAGAAAAATAAAAACTTATTGGGTTAGCTCGTTAGATCCTTTCGACTGAATAATTCAATAGGCAATTTCCGGCAACTTTATTGTCCAAATTTGACAGGTGAACTCTCATTTTGTTCCTCATTTTATGGGCAACAATATTAATCAATTTGATGTCTTGAGTTCATATGAATCTTCAAATTGAAGTGTCATCGTCTATGGCTTTTTTTTTTT